CATTCCTTTCAACTACCAGTGACACTTTAGTAGTGTCACAATATTAGTAATTATAATTTAGGTATACTGTCAAAATGTCGCGTGGACATAGTAGTAAGCATACGTGACTTTTTAGGGCAAATAAGTAAAATTATATAATTCAGAAGCCAATTTCTCAGGAGTAACGGTATAAAAAAACCATCATATTTACCTCAACGACAATGTCCCTCAGCTTCCACTAAGGGCAATGCCACTAACTGCTGATATTCAAGACCTCATTTGCTTACACACACAATCAAGAATCGACTCAGCAACTTGGCAGTCCACAAAGCATGTTGACATGGACCTAGAGCAAGAAGAGTTGTCTGAAAATTGGAATTCCCATGGCTTGGAGGAAGCCAACAAATGATAGCACTGACTGCTACTTCTGTGCTATTGATGTGACTGGGATCAACAAAAAGAACCAGAGCAGCCTCATGTATAATGATCTTCAATCAGCACTTCGACTGTGGCTCATTTTGATGAAATTTCAATACTTGTCATTGGAGAATTTCATGACATTAGTGAGGAGGATTTCTCCAGTGTTCAAGAAAATGAAGTAGTAGTTTTTGATGATGCTGCTCCACATCCTTTTTCCCCTTCAAAAGGAACTAAATGATCTAGTTCACGATCTCAACTTGTCAACGTCCTCTGCTGAACTGCTGGCATCCAAGATTGAAGGACGAAAACCTCCCCTCTGACACCTGCCACAAAAGACATCAAGAGTACCTTCGTTTTTTTTTTTTTTTCCTCTCTGAAGAGAAGGCCTTGGTGTACAGTAGATATTGTGCAGCATCTGCTCAAAATTGGAGTGGCATAGTATGAAGCCAAAAATTAGAGACTGTCCATTGACAGTAGCAAGCGATCACTGAAAAGTGTTCTGCTGCACAAAGGCAACCAGTTTTCTTTGTACCCCTCGCTCACTCAACTACATCAAAGGAGAAATAAGTAGTGAAATATGTGCTGGAGAAAATTCATTATGATCAGCATAGATCAGAGTGGTTTATTTGCATTGAACTGAAGATGGTGAACTTTTTGTTGGTACAATAATCTGGGTTCAACAGGTACCCATGCTTTCTGTGCATGTAGGATAGTAGAGACACAGCATTACACAAAAAAGGACTGGCCTGTGAGGGAGAGAATTGATGCCTTACAGAGCAACAAACGCCATCAATAAACCTCGGGTGAACAGAGGATACTTTTCCCACTACTGCACATCAAGCAGTTCACTAAAGCTCTGGACAAGGATGTGGCTGCTTCACTTAATTGTACCAGGCTTTTCCAGGATTGACAATGAAGTTGAAACTGCCATCTTTGATGGTCCTCAAATCCATCAGTTCAACAGAGATCTGGAGTTTGAAAACTTAATGTAGGAAATGGAACTGGAAGAATGGACGGCTTTTGTTTTGTTCGTGAACAAAGTCAGGAGTTATGCAGTACTTGTCATCAATATGCTGACTGGTTTCAGATGCGACATGAGCATCAAAATGGATTATTTATTCTCACACATGGATCGGTTTCCTGAGAATCTGGGATCAATGAGCAACAAACAAGGCGAGAGTTTCCATCAGGACATGGAAGTGATGGAGGCGCTGGGAAATTTGGGATGCAGCCCTGATGGCTGATTACTGCTGGATTTTGAAGAAATACCTACCACTGATCCTTCTATAGGTTCAAATATATGAACTTGAAGCCCTGAATTTTACATGCAATTTACATGTACTTACATTCATCAATGTATACTATTGTTTATTGTAGTCAATTTAATTGATAAATTATTAGAAAACAATTCTCTTAAAAACTTATTTTGTATGAGAAATATTAACAAAATTCAATTGATAATTTAACAAAATATGTAATAGATTTAGATCAGATTTTAAAAAAATCTCAACTTAGCACTAAAACAATCTGATCATGCAAAAACGGATGTCACGTCTGGATTCAGTGGTGAAAAATTGTCCCCAATCATTTGAAAAACATAAGCATCTTAAGAAAATGTTTTGTTACCCAGTGATTGAACACTTAATATAGAAGATTTTTTACTGAAGTGGTTCATGGAAAGTTTATTTTTAACAAATTAGCCCTCATTAGACAACTTACATCCAACTATTTTTGGTTGAACAAGCAGATATTCCCAAGATTGCCATTGTCACTCCCTTTACGTTATTTGAATTTTTGTCTTTATGTATGTCGCCCACATCTTTCAAAGATTCACTGACCCCATTTTAGAGGTTTCAGTTTTTGTATGGTCCTTCCTGTAGCTAATTCTCAGAACCTCTAAACATCCGACAAATAAGCTTTCAAAAGATGCAATCAGTACAATGCAGTCAAATCCATTTACATGATTTTGACAAGAGTGAAATGTCATTTTTTTTTTTCTTATCTTATAACAAAGTTGAGGCTATTTTACAATTTTTAGTGCCCAGTAAAATGAAAAGTTTACATCAATTTTCAAGTATAGTGAATTTGTTGCCGCTTTATCCTATTCCAGAGTTTATAAAATTTTTTCCAACATGTCTCTCCTTCATGCTTAATTAGTTTGCCAGAGTTTTTTTTTTTTTTCACATTTTATTTTCTCCTTCAAATTAGGCATTTCATGCATTAAAATGCTAAATGAGGATTACCACCATCATACCTAAACAAACTTTTCTCACATATCCATAGACATTACCAGTCTGCAAATTGACAAACTTGCGTGCTTACCAGAAGCTGAAGTATTTGTTCAAACAATCAAACTTTAATTGATAAGTTTTTGTCTGAATTTCTGGCATGAGAAGTTATTTGTGCTATTTATATTTGGGCTGTTGTGTCCTCTGGTGTATATTGATTCAGGTAATCTACAGGGAATTCTGAAAGAATTAGCCCATCATATGTGCTATGAGGACCTTAGTAGGCCTAGCACAGAAATAAATACCATATGGGATCCACTAATAAAGAAAGACTGCAGCAGCAGTCAATCAAACATGACATCCAAGCAGCAACCTAATCCTCGGTTAGCCAAGGTTAAGTTTAAGGCTTTAATTTTACTCCAGCAAATTGTCCTACAGGACAAGGAGATAGTGGGCAAAAACATTGATTTGTGAATTTCATGACAATGGTTGTTCATTAGGCACTAGATACGAGCAATAACTTATAATATTAAAAAATATGAACTAGAAAATATATCCCTAGGGCATGAGCAAGAACAGTTTACAAATAAAGAGTTCAGTTCAGAATTCCCTGTAGATTAAAGCTGGAAATGTAACAAAATCAGGACAACAGTCCAAATATACTTCTTAATTGACAAAAATAGAAGTACTGCCAACCATTCTGAAACTAGCAGAACAATACAGCACGTTCTTAGAAATTGTAAAATATTAATTTTTAAGACAAATTAGAAGATAAGCTGACTTATTTTGCTATAAAAACTTGACTTTTATATGTATATATTTTTTGCAAATTGTGTTATTCACATGTCAGTGTCAATTAAGTTTAATTAGTAACTGATGTACATGACATACATCAAGTAATTGGCCTTTTAAAGTGTTCATTTTCAAAATTTTCACTTTGCATTGCATATTTTAGATACAAGATAATAGACTATTATCATTATGGAAACAAGGAATATTGGAAAATGAGCCATAACAGCTAAATAAAAAAAAGAAAGAAAGAAAAAAAAATAATACAAGGGCCACACCAAAGTTATTGATTGTGAATTCTTACACAGTATCTTGAAGACAAGATAATAAACCATTGACAATGATGAATGAAGAAAGTCTTAAAGAAAATTACCTAACATACAGTGGATGAATACATGCCTGCTATTGGCCAACTGGCCTCCTTGCATTGTAAGCGACATGTTATATATCGTTTACAATGGTGTGTTACTAAACTCTCTGGTCAGAGTTTGGGTAAGTGAGTATCATGTCAATAGCGTAGAGGCACAATTATTTCAGTCATATTTTCAACCTTATTGCAAGCCTCAACAGTTCTTCCACCCAACTTTGTCAGATTCTAGAGATTGAGACAAAGAAAATAATATACTAACTTTGAAAATGGCATTTACATTGTTACTAACTGCCTCATTCATACTGCATAATTTGCATGTTCAAATTCATTAACTTGTAATGTTTTTGATATTTTCCATTTTACTTTTCTCCCAAACTTTTACAGTTACAAGTTCATATTATTTTCAATTTAAGAATATTTTAATTGCTGCCTTACAGGAAAGAGCAATAAAAGTTACTGGACTTTATGAATGTGTTTTCCTTAAAAATTGTTTTTAATAAAAATATTTGATTAATTCCGACTGAAAGTAACACTGGTTAGTCAATGAATACCAAATGTTTTCTTATAAGGATTGCTGTCCTTTAGTATCTAACATTTTTTGGGGGGGGTCATAAAACTAGTTGATAACGTTTTGACTTTAAAGCCTATTGATTTTTTTTTAAACAGATCTGTGGGTTCTTTAAAGATGAAACATTTTGAATTGTAATTTTTTTTTTTTTTTTTGAGTGAGAGCTGGTATCCATTTACACCACCAGTATATCTAAAACAAACCTAACTGCTGTACACCAAGTAGTAAATCTATCCATAAAGATAACTCTAACCTTAACTGTAACCATAAAAATTAACCTTGCTCTCCTTATAATTATAGCCAAGAACTCTTTAAAAAAAAAAAAGAAAAAAGAAAAGAAAAAAGAAAAAAAAGAAAAGTAATTTGGACCGAAACACAAATGTAAATATAAGGTGTAGTCAATACATTTTTACTAGTCTTCCTAAGATGTTCTTATCGCTAACCGGCATGAAACTAACAAAGGACAATTTTATTAGCTGCCTATGTATTTGACAGGTTATATGCCATTTCAGACTTACATTTCTACTAATTCTGCTTAGACTTGAGGTACAGACTGAAGAATTGTATAAGAAAGAAGAAAAAGAAGTGACGTTTCAGATTTCTTAATTTTTTTTATTTTATTACATGCAAAGTTTAAGAGAAATACTTAAATCTTCTGAAATGCAGCTACATCAACTGATTGAACATAATCTTCAAATTTGGTGATTTCTTCCTCAAGAAAATCTGTACCAACCTAAAAAAAAAAAAAAAAAAAAAAATTTTGATGAGTTGGTCACAGTTGTTATCAAAGTGTTTTAGATGTATTTGCTTCATGCATTTCTACTCAAAAAGGCAGTAACAGTTATTTCAAATTATTCAAGAGTGAGTAGAAACAATTGTAGATTCAAATGCAAACTTTTTTATAACATCAACACTACAGTGTTTGTGTGTTCATTTGTAATTTGTTTAATTTTTTAAGTTGTTCATTAACTTATTTGTTTAGTTTCAAGTAAGTTTTGCATAAAGCAGGTTACATTACTGACTTGTATAAAGTGCATATATTTGCATTTTTATGGCCGTATTAGAGACAAGGTATTCATTTTTAGTTTTTAAGTAACAAAGTTTTTGTGCCTGCAGTTTGAGAAACAATAAGTGATCTCAAAATGCAGACATGAAAAAAATCTTTACTATGTTACTTAAAAATTAAAATGAATATGTTGTAAAATGCCACCATGAAAATGCAAGTATATGTACAATGCAACAAAAAACACACTGTTTTATAAATGTGTTTTTTTTCTTTACAATATTTTCTTATTGCCTACAAATTCTCTCCCATTTAAGTCTACTTTAGAAGATATGGCCCTGCCAAGTTTAAAGTTTTTTTTCCTACGTATGGGCAGGATTTCCAAGAAAGATTATAATTAAAGACAATCATCCTCATGTTCCATGACCTAAAATGTTGATATTTTGCTAAGTAACCTCTTAAACTATTCAATAAGATATATATTTTATTAAATTAAAAAAAATAATAATTTAAATATATTTTGCAGATATTACTTTTTGTACAGTTAGATTGTCTTTAAAAAGTGGTAAACATCATGTATGTTGATTATCATACTGATGTTTACCACGACATTGTACAGCCTCAATTTAGAGGCAAAATAGGAAAATTATACACCCCCCTCCCATAAAATTGGAACAGTAAAATCTAGCAAAAATCTGGCACACTTTCCTAACTCATGAAAGGGAACATTTGTGCCAAATTTTAAATAATTTGGTGTCGGAGGGAGCGATTTCAACTTTTTGCTGGTGTTTTGATATTGAATGACCCGCAAACCCTTTGGAATAATATTAATTCATCTCAAAATTAAAAATGTTATTGAGTTGATCACTAATTTAGACAAACTGGTAACAAATAAAAGCTCTTCATTCAACAGAAAAATGAACTTACTTTATCATCTTCAACAACACAGCAAATTTGTAGCTTCTTGATACCATAACCAACTGGAAGGAGCTTGGCTATATTTTAAATATAAAAAAAAAAAAAAATTAAAATTATATACCCCTCTTTTTTTTTTTTTTTAAAGAAAAATATTCCACCTTTTCCACATTAGAAACAAATTCAAAGACAATATAAAATAAGAGCAAGACAGTAAGGGTTACTTAAGTAGCACTGGAAGTACTTGCAATCTTGTTTTAGTGATGGGCTTTATAAAAAAGATGATCTTGCTTATTATAAAACGCAGATTGTATGTGTATGTGTGTGTGCGCGCGCATGTACGTTTATATATGGGATCGTATTTCTTACATTTTTCAACAGATTTCAACAAAACTTCACAGGACTATGTAAAGTTACCCGGTGGTGGTTCTGACAGTGTCAAAAATTGGAAAAACAATTGTTTTTGCACGAAATCAATTTGAAAGCACGGTTAAGGGTATCACACCTGGCTGGAAGTTACTGCCGGCTACTCAAACGTCCAAATGCCGTTAAGTTCCCGTGACTCAGCGTTTTTTTTCAGAGAACGATACACAAAAAGTAAACAAATGAAACCTAAACATACACAAGTCCTAACTAAAAATAATAACCGGAAACTAATTTAAATACACATGGTGTCCAAATGAAACCCATGTGTATAGTCAAAATGTGAAAGTTAATTTTTAGTCATCAACCAAAAGATATTGCAAGCCAGCTACAATGCTAACAGCAGCTGACATAAACACAGCCGATTTTTTCCACCAAGAGAAGGGAATTGTTGTCCCTGCCCGAGTGTACGCGCTCGGGTCCCCCACATTAATCCGACCTTGTGTCACATCTCATTCTCGTGGGGGAACGAGTAAACACTGCAATGTGCTCCCCCTCTCACCTTCACCTGGCCAACCCTCGTGGAAAATAAACCTCATCTCATCTCAACTGTTAATAAAAGCAAAGCATGTCAGATTTATAAAGATTTCATATTTGTCCCTTATCCTATCATTCTCTTGCATTCCTATCTATATTTGATCTTAATTCATATATATATATATATATATATATATATAATCTCACAGCTGTTTAAAACCCTTGTTTTTTTTTGTCATATAGGAAAATCCAACATGGCGTGTAAACGAAATATGCGGCAAAAAATCTCATTCGTTAGTAACATTTTAAACACCTCATAGAATGTAAAGTTCTTAAAGAAAACCTATGTCAAAGTGTTTTCCTGAATCCTTGATGACTTGGCTGTCCGAAAATGATAATATCAAGATGAAATAATGGAAACTGACCGTGAAAAATACAATTATGCTTTCAACAGGTTTTCAATCAATTAGTAAACTTCTGGACCTTTTAGGGCGACCTTATAGGATCCAGACAGCTATTTTTTGCACATGGAATTATTCACTGGTAATTAATCTTGATTTGGCTGTGGAAAATGTCACTTTCGGCGGTTAGCATTAGGAAATTATGCAAATTTTCTGAGAAAAATCCCTTTTTTTATGAAAAAAATATTTATTTTAAACTTCAAAATAACATCATTCAAAATTCATTCCTTTCTCTTTCATTTGGCATGAACATCATTGAATAAAAAGAAAGGCTAAATGGACCAAGGATGGGAAATACAAAAGATATGCGGCGAAAAAAAACAATGTTGTCTGCTAAGTGTTGTTGTCATCACCGGGTCACGGGGTGTTAAAAACAAAACAAAACTTATCAAGCCATTGTTCAAACATAGGTTATATGAAGCCCCTAGTAATTGTGAACCCTTTTTTTTTCACCCTTTGCTTTTATCTGGGAGTGGTGGGTTTTTATTACAACTTGTTCTAAGGTTTGCCGTCCGTTTATTGCTAGCTAGCTGGCTGGCTGGCCTTTGACCTAGACGTCAAAGTCAATTAGGTTTATTTTTCCCTTATCACTATTTTTTAGGAAAAAAAAACAACTTTTGGTTTCTGGTGGTTAGAATTGCAGATAAATCTCTTGCCTTTTACTAAAAGATTTCCATGGCCAGGTGTCAATTTTTTAACCCTTGGCAGTCATAATTGAAAATTAACAATGGATTTTTGTCGCATTTTTGAACCCCTAGGAATGTTGATTTCCTTCAAAACTCTCAATTTTATGCCTGAAATAGTTTGATTATGATCTAGGCTTTCTGATTTTCAAAAAAAAAAAAAAAAAAAAAAAAAAAAAATGGTTAATTTCCCATTAATGGGGAAATATTTGTTTAGAACAAGAAAAAAAATGCAAAATTTTCACTATTTTTTTTTCACATTTTACCCACTGAAAAAAAAATTTTGAGTCATTTACACCAGCTAATTTTACTTTTAAATGAAAGAATATATCTTTTGCTTTCAGAAAATACCTAGTTTCATGGGGTTCAGATCAAAAGTTTCCTTGATATTAGTTTAGGTGATGATAAAACAGTCATTTTTCAATATTTTACCCCTAAAAAAGTATGAAAACCCATATTTTGAGAGAAAATAAGCTGTGACAAAATGACTTTTGCTATTTTTGTGATGATTTTCACTTGGGAAAGAAAATTTTTACCATAGGAAACCTGAATTGACTTTATTTAAGTTCAGTGGGTCTGTAGGAAACCTCAAACAGCTGTGATATATATATATATATATATATATATATATATATATATATAAAAAACAGATGCAAACTATGCCTGGAAGAAAAAAAATAAAATAATTAAGTACAAAAAATACAAGCCAGTTATTGAACCAGAATTTATACTTAAATGTCATCATAAAAATAAGTTTATATAGTCTTAAAAATAGACATTTATTTTGCATCAAACACTGAAAAATATATATTAGGTTTGTAACTATGTAAGTATATATATATATATATATATATATATATATATATATATATATATCTATTTTTAAAACCCTTGTTTTTTCATATAGGAAAAATCCAACATGGCGCGTAAACGAAATATTTAGCAAAAAAAATCTCATTCGTTAGTAACATTTTAAACACCTCATAGAATGTAAAGTTCTTAAAGAAAACCTATGCCAAAGTGTTTTCCTGAGTCCTTGATGACTTGGCTGTCCGAAAATGGTAATATCAAGATGAAATAATGGAAACTGACCGTGAAAAATACAATTATGTGCAACAGGTTTTCGATCAATTAGTAAACTTCTGGACCTTTTAGGGCGACCTTATAGAATCCAGACAGCTATTTTTTGCACATGGAATTATTCACTGGTAATTAATCTTCGATTTGGCTGTGAAAAATGTCACTCGGCAGTTAGCATTAAGAAATTATGCCCAATTTTCTGAGAAAAATCCCCTTTTTTTTTATGAAAAAAATTTATTTTCGCTTCAAAATAACATTCAAAATTCATTCCTTTCTCTTTCATTTGGCATCAACATCATTGAATAAAAAGAAAGGCTAAATGGACCGGCGATGGGAAATATAGAAAGATATGGCTAAAAAAAAAAAATGTCGGCTGCTAAGTGTTGTTGTTGTCACCACCGGGTCATGGGGTGTTAAAAACAAAACAAAAAGTAAACTCATCAAGCCATTGTTCAAACATAGGTTGTATGAAGCCCTATTAATTATTGACCCCCCCACTCTTTGCTTTTATCTGGGAGTGGTGGGTTTTATTACAACTTGTTCTAAGGTTTTCACTATTTTTTCACATTTTACCCACTGAAAAAATTTTTGAGTCATTTACACCAGCTAATTTTACTTTTAAATGAAAGAATATATCTTGCTTTCTGAAAATACCTAGTTTCATGGGGTTCAGATCAAAAGTTTCCTTGATATTAGTTTAGGTGATGATAAAACAGTCATTTTTCAATATTTTACCCCTAAAAAAGTATGAAAACCCATATTTTGAGAGAAAATAAGCTGTGACAAAATGACTTTTGCTATTTTTGTGATGATTTTCACTTGGGAAAGAAAATTTTTACCATAAGAAACCTGAATTGACTTTATTTAAGTTCAGTGGGGCTATAGGAAACTGCAAACAGCTGTGATATATATATGAATGTGTGTATCTGTCTATTACTATTATTATTACTTTAAATATATTACACACACACACACATATATATATATATATATATATATATATATATATATATATATATATATAAATTAAATGATGATGATTAAATGAACAACAACACAGATTGCATTTCTGTGATTTTTATTACTGGTTGCACAGTTAGTTTTATCCATGAAATTTTCCCCTACTGCAATATTCTCAAAAAAATCTAAAGTAGGATCTGTAATGTAATCGGTACTGAATTAGCTTCTTGACTTTAGCCTCTTTCTCACAGACGTGATGTGGCTTCCCTGTCTTTTCTACAAATGTTGATGAGCATTTTTTCCTGGTGCCCTGACTACATGAATTTAAGTGTACTACTAGATTGGCATCTAGGTCCTAACTTTTTACTGTTGAAATATTTAAATGTAACTGCTCTTCTAACAGTTTCTTTCCTCGCACTTCTCCATATTGGAATTCCATTCCTCTCACTTGCTTCCCTGATAACTACAATCATCAAAAACCTAAATGCAACATCAGTCACCATGTTTTGTTGCATTGATACCTGTTCTTTTTTTTTTTTTCTTCCCCCCTACACCCACACTTTTCTCTCATTTTCACTTAACCCCTGTGTGATAATGGCACTTCTGACTTGCTTGAATTGAAATGCTTTAAAAAACAACAAAAACCCAAAAACATTGAATATAAAATAATTAGGGTACTGAAAATAGCATCTACCAAATCAAAGGAAAAGCTCTCCCCAACATCTAAAATAAAAAAAAAAAGTGCTCAATATATATATATATATATATATATATATATATATATATATATATATATATATATATTCAGGATGTGTGTGTGTGTAACAATGTACAGCCGCAATTTTTTTCAACGGATTTGCACCAAAATTTACATGCACAAAGTTAGCAGGAAGCCTAAGACCGACTTTGCATTTCCCAACTCCCATTGATAGTGGAAATAATCGATTTTTTCATGTCCATTTGTAGCCATTACAGCCATTTTGTACTGGCCAAAGTGAGAGCCAATAGTTGGCTGCCACGAATAGGCAGGAAAATTCTATTGTCCAGGGTGAGAGCCAACAGCTGACTGGCACACATGTTAACTAGCAGCTAGCATGCAAAAAAAAAAAAAAAAAAATAACTGCATTCGTCACAAGTGGGAAAAATTTAAATCTGCATGGCACTTTACTCCAATTGGCTCATTCACTTGCTTAAACTCAACATTGATTCTGATTCCGCAGAACTGGGTTGAATGTGAAAAAGTATTTGTTGTTAACATTCTTTTTTCATTTGGTTTTTCCAGTTATGAGTCCTTTTTTAAAGCTGATCATTTTGTGTTCATTTTGTGTAGTTCTTTTTTTTTTAAGTAACAGATTTAATGTTTAGTATAGAGCTTAGAAAAAAAATTTGCAGTGTGATATAGGCAAGAAGTAAGGCATGTAGCAACATCAGCACGGCAAAGGGCACTCCTTTAAAGGCAAGGAAGGGCAAATATATTTTAAGTCAAGTGATAGCGATTGCTGTATGAGTCATACGATTTTTGAATCAAGCACGGGCCACGCTAGAAGTATATAAAAAAAAAAAATTGGTCATGTGCTCAAATACAGAGCAACACAGTAAGAGTGCAGAGCAATAACAAGCCTTTAACTTTCTGAAATGCTACTCTTGATTAAAGCAAGATTATTCTAATTATTATGGTGGGATTGCCAGAGATTGACTTTATTAGTTTTTTCTAGAAAACCAAACAATTATAAATTGACTATTCATCCATGAATTGCATATTACTGTAACATTTGGTCTGGTGTTTCTGCTATGTATTTAGACATTCTTGATAAAATTAAAAAAAGAATCTGCAATGTTATCAGTCCCGATCTGACACCTCAACTTCAGTTAATTCTCCACTGAATAACAAATGTTCTGATTGGGAAGTTTTGATCTCCCGAAATTTAAACTGCAATGTTAAATCATTACTGTCGTAATTCCTATTTTATTTTTAGTTTTCTCAATCTTTCACTCAGTAACCCCTTGTGTCTTAATAACTGCTTAGAAGTGAAAGGAAAAAAAAAAAAAAAAACGTACCAATTGTAAGAAGCAATCAATGATAATTCTAGAATTATTAGTTGCTTAGCTTAATTTTGGCTAAATGATATGAGTATAGTGAGAATTGAACTCCCTAATCAGTTGTAATCAGGTTCAGATAAGCCTACAAGCATTATACCAGAAAAAAAAGTACATTCCATCAAGATAACGCTAGACCACATTCGGTGATCAGACAAAAAAAAAAAAAAAAAAAAAAAAAAAAACTTCAAGTGTTGCATTTATTAACATTTAATATTAATGACAATTTAAGTAATAACTTTGCATTTAAAAAATTTAAAACTTACATGCACCCCACAAAAGCCCATCTGTTTGAATGGATCGTACACATTCTTCCATCTTTTGCATGTCAGTTTCATCATCCCATGGCTTCACATCCAAAATGATATTGCTTTTGGCAATCAGAGCTGGCTCTGAAGTTTAAAAAGAAAAAAATCATTTGGAGGTGGTGACAAGGACAATCTATAGAAATGTATAGACTATAGCACAAATTGCAAAATCCTACCTCTGATTTTTTTGCTTACTTTTTGCTTTCTTCTCAGCATATTCAGCTAATCTCTGCTGCCTTAGTTTTTCACATTCCTCATCATCATCAGAGCCAAACAAATCAATGTCATCATCCTCATCAGGAGCCGAGGATTGGGCCGGAACAGATGTAACATCTCCATAAGCATTGACATCTTTTTTTTCACCTGGGAATCTTTACAGATGAAGTAATTTTTAAAATTACAAAGAAAGTAAAAACAGAGCATTGCTAATTTTAGGACCCAAATTCAATGTTTAACCATTTAGCATTCAAAATGCTCAAACCTGCCCTCTAAATATTGAGTCTCAAAGTTTCACTATTTGTGCGACTTCCTGCATTATTTGCGATGTCATTATGACACAGTATACATGGTGTGGGTTAGACATTGAGACAATAGTTATGTAGGCAGGTTTGGGCATGTTGAATGCTAAAGTGTTATAGTTATAAGAGTGAGTGAGCAAGCAAGTGTATATGATTAACAGCATATATAATAATAATAAAGACAATTTGATTCACAAGCAAGAAAATGAACTGAAGATATAAATGAATAAATATCAAAATGTCAAATATTAATGACCTTTAGGTGTATTTTGTTTTTTGAATTACTTAATTCACCTCACACACACACATATATATATATCTCTGACTGATACCAAATCAGTTGGGTTTCAGTCCCAGCCTGAAGCAATCAGATGTATAGCCACACTGAGAAGCTGTGATACAGTCTGTGTGTGTGTGTGTGTGTGTGTGTGTGTGTGTGTGTATATATATATATATATATATAAAAATGGCTTATGAAAAATTACTGAATATTATCTATACAAATCACTCACAGTAGTGAATACATTAATTGGAGTATGTCTAACCATAGATTTGTACTTACTTTGCAGTTTCAGCACCATAAGATGCTATATGATTATACCAACGTCTAACATGGAACATATTTACATCAGGTGGTCCAGATAAACAAGAGAACACAACAGAATCAGCCTGGGATGGCTCATAGCTAAAATTAAATAAAGAACAATATAATGAATATTGACATCACATAGTAATAAAATCAATATTTCATTAAATTTTCAACTTCAATTAGGCATCCCAAACTGGTTTAGTTTACAGTGTGAAAAATGGGTCAAAATAGTGAAATTTATAAGTTCAACTGGCAATATCAAGTATTTTTTAAGTTATTTTGATAAAATTAGTAAAGAAAAGTTTATATTTTCTTTATAAAAGGGTACAATTCCTTCTGTTGTGTAATAATTAGTTTTTATTCCAGGTCTCTTTAAATGAGGTCATGTTTCAGTGACAGGCACCTTTTCTGAACTTTATGTTTTGCAGTTTGTTGTGCTCAGAGTTGTGTGTTCTATTGCACATCAAAATTTGTTTCATCTTAAAGAAAAGAGGATGCTCATCTATTTGGTGGGTTCAAAACAAAATTTGAGGTCATTTTTGTCAAAAGAAATTTCTATCTTAAGTTGAAAATGCCAATATCTGTCTATATCTCACAGATGAAGTTTTTACATTAGGCTGTCCTGATCTTCCATGGATGAAATACTATTGAAATTCACTTAACTTTATAAAATCTTTTGAATCATCTTTAATATTTGCTTGTAAAAAAAGTTGGCTGATTTATATAACCAACTTAAAGTGTTTTTTATATAAAAAATAAATATATAAAAAAAAAAAAAAATTGTGCATTAAAAAATGAAAAAGTACTGTAATTTTAAAGTGTGCAAGGATGAGTTTAGAGCATAGCACCACAAAAAACACAAAAAGGTTATGTTTTTAAGACAATCCTGGGGATTTTCCAAGAAAATTTTTTTTTACTAGGACCCTATGCAGATATATTTTCAAAGAAAAGAGGCATATAAAAGGAACTTCAAATGTTACCAGTTTATTTCAATCTTGCAACATTTATGTCTACCAGAAATGAAATTTTAAAAACAGCAATACTTAATACTGGTCCTCTCAAAAAGGAAAGAAAACTATGTTTAAAAGTCATGAATCAGTTTGACATATTTATAGTGTAAAAAGCAAAAAAGCTTTATATTTTTATACAGTAATATAAAATCTTGTTCTTTCCACAACATATTCTAAGCTAATAACGTTTATCTCTTTTTTGAAAATGTAACACTTAATAATTGTAGTCACATTATTTGTCAAAGCTTTTTTGTTTATTTTTCAAATTTTTTTTTTTAAAGATTTTATGTTAATATTACTTCTTGCAAATTCTAAAAAAATTGCCATTTCTAGAGGGCACACCAAGGTAATTTTTGCCTGCCCTCTACCTTATGCTAAACTCATCCCTGAATGTGTATATGTATACATTTATAATTTATCTTTTATAAATCTCATTCATGTACATAAAATATTGTAATTCTAAAAATGCCCATTAAAATTTTATATTTACTAATTAACTAATTTTGGGGATTAAAATAAGGACCAAAACGTTAATGTCTTATCAAAATGTTATTATTAAAAGGAAAGACTGAAGTATTTTTTAATTATAGTTTAAATTTTTGAAGCCTTTCTAACATCCAAAATTTTGGTTAAAAATACTGTTTGTTTTTTTTTCTCACACATCAATGACAAGTAATTTTACAATGAAGTTTTTTTTTTCTAGTGAAAAACATTTAAAAATTCTTGCAAAAATCAATTAATTGTTGCTATTTCAGAACTTATTCACAAATGAATGAAATTATTTTAGAAACCCCTACCCCCATATGTTACACCCAACTTAATTTCATGAAATTAAATTGTATGCCCAAACTTTTTAGTTAAAAAAGTAGGACTCCTGCTCTAAATAGTTAAAAAAAAAAAAAAAAAAAAAAAAAAAAAGCTATAAAACTAAGACATTTAATTAGAAAAGCTTTTAATTGCTTTCGTAAATAAGTCATTAAAGATGCTATTGCTGTAAGAAAAAGATTTTTTTCAATTAATTTTTTTCATTTTTAAGGATAGACATCAAAATGTTAACTCTTTTATATCATAAAAAGATTTCAAAGTTATTTCGATTTAGAAGAAAAAGAAGTAATGTGTCCAGGTTTTTTGTCTTTTAACATATTCCCAGTTTTAATTAAAAAAAATCCCCCAAATACACAATTGTACTTTTATTTCGAGGGTTGCTGGCCCAGGCAACAAAAACACTAGCAGACAATACTTATTTGCTGCATGTTCTTTGTATTTCCTATTGTCGGGTCATTTTTATTAAAAAAATGTTAACACCAACTTAAAGAGGAAGGATTGAAGTTTGAAAAAAAAAAGTATTTTTCTCAGAAAATTGGCCATATTTTCTTAATACTAACTCCTGGGTGACCTTTTTCACAGCCAAATTGAAGATTAATTACTAGTGAATAATTCCATGTGCAAATAATAGCCATCTGGATTCCAATAACATGGTCCGAAAATGGATTGATCGAAAACTTGTTTAACATAATTGTTTTCCATGGTCAGTTTCCATTCTTTCATCATGTCATTTTCAGACAGCCAGGCCATCAAAGATTCAGGAAAACCAGTTTGGCACAGGTTTGCTTTGAGAACTTTGCATTCCATGAATTTAATGTTACTGACAGGAATATAGAAATTTTCTCCAAATATTTCATTCTGGCACCATGCTGAATTTTCCCATATGACAAAAACAAATGTTTTAAACAGCTGTGCTATATGCCTACATAAAAAAAAAAAAAAAGTTTAGGATACTAATAGTCAAGTTTTCATTTATAAATTTAGTCAATGAAATATAAAATTAAAGAAAGGTAAAAAAAGCCAACAATAGACATTAGTCATTTAGTATGAAAAACAAAGAATAAAAAAAAAAAAATTTAAGTTAATTCCCCTTGATAACACTGCCAGTTATTGAACTCACAACTCTAAGATCAATCAATCATGTCCTTAGGGACATGAGTGAATTTTTTCTTCTTCTCTAAAAACAGAGCTCATAATTTGTTATTGTTCCCATATTATATTCATTTCTAGGCTTGTCTGTACACATCAGGATTTTGTGAAACAAATAATACACTAATTCTAAAATTTCACACATTTTGTAATGGTATTACATAAATACCTTATTTATGAATACAAATTAGATAAATACCCCACTCTTTAGGTTAAAATAACACTATGTAGTTTGGGGAATTAATTGCTGTAGACTGTCAATGGGTTGTTTGGTAGAGTGCATTATCATTTACGGTAGGTCACAAATGCCTCAGTCGATATACTATTGTAGCACTGAATATCGATTGGTTTACAGTCAAGCCACACTGTAAACACTGATCAAACGGTATATTTTTGAGATGAGGTATTTTAACATTTACCTTGTTCAGACAGTTGTCTTCCATCTTTATTGCTATATTCAACATTTCAGCTGTTGTAAATTGGTGTTCTTCAAGTGATATTTGTTGGAATTATTTAGTCCATTGTGTAATTCCACATACAATGTAAAGTTACTTCTGGATTAATCAACCAACACTTTTACTAACTTGGGACATTAGCAAGTGAATTTTAATTATAGGTAGAACATCACTAGAAAATATGAAAACTGAAGGAATCAGTGCATATACTAGGCTACAAAAATTTTTCTAGTCTACAACAATTCCTTAAACTACATAGTGTTATTTTATGTAAAATGTGGGGTATATATCTAATTCATAAAGAAGGTATTTATGTAATACCATTACAAAGTGTGAAATTTTAGAATTAATGTATTATTTGTTTCACAAAATCCTGATGAGTTCTACAGTAACTTTTATTGGAAAGTCACCTAATACTATAACTGATATAAATTTTACACTACAAACTGCTTTATGCTCTTAATGTTTTTACTTTTTTTTTTTATATTTCATACTTCCAACAGTTGGTAAATATATCATAGTAAAAAATGAGTAGTAGATATGTTATAGTAGCACCCAGTATTCTCTACAGAAAAGAGATAGGTTCAGATTAGACAAGATTTTAAGAAAAATTTAAAGAAAATTAAGAGAATAAATGCTAAATAGTTTAAGAAAATGCAATGTATAAAAATCACTTCATTTTATTATTTTTAATATTTCATATTCTTATTAACATAAATATATACATGTATTCTATTTATTTTCATAAAGAAACAAAATAAATATATTCTAAATTACTGGTTGTATAAGGTTAAAAGTGATTTAAAAAAAAAAAAAAAAAAAAAAAACTCCAATTTCTATATCCTGGTAGCTTTGGCAATATATATTTAAATTTGAGGCAGTTTTTTTTTTTTTTTTTAATATGGAGGTTGCAAGCTAGACTGTTTGGCGCATGGACTTGACAAGTGGAATATACCTTGCTGCATTCAAATATATTTTTTGATATATTTTAAGTGTAAAAATGAGTAATATTTTCCCAAATGTTGCCAATATTTAATTTTACTTTGAAATATTTCTAGGATACTTACTTGAAGTTCAAGACATTTTTTAAACTATCTTAAATTTTCTGTTCATATTTTTCAATCAAAATGTGAAAACATTTAAAATTCATTCATGTATGTCTGTATATATGCATACATACGTATGCATGCATGTATAAAATTTTAGATAATTCTCTTAAAACTAAAATTTTGCTGAAAGGAACCTTTAAATTATTAAAAGGTTTTTAGGGTTTTTCATATTTAGTAGTATTCTTATGAAGACAAGCACATTGGTTTGGTTTTTGTTTTATGACATATCAACTTCAATGGGTTATTTAATACCAACAAGACTTTTAGGATAGATTCGTATGAATCCAAAGACTGTGTGTACGCTATCCATGCAGCTGCGGAAAGAAATATAAAGGGGAGACAGGCCTTATGGTAAGGCTTCAAGAACACTAGAAAGCTGTAACACAAGGGAAAGTGGAAAAATCAGGTGTGGCTGACCGCATATGGAGAGAAAAGGGGTGATTACTACCCTTTGTGGGCTCAGGATGAGATCATAGACAAAGAACTCCATTGGAAAATTCATAAACTTAAGTTATCAGCACATATGCTTTTGCCACAAAAAATCTCCT